TTTGGAACAGAGCAGAGTGTATCTGCAATTTTTATTTTCAATTTCATTGCTTGGGTTTTTTAAATGTCTATAATGTAGAATAGTATTTTATATTCATTGAAAAATAGTTTCCGAACTTATTTCATTCGTGTGACAAATTTATAAATACAATTTTATTCACACTGTATTCTTATTTTGCTTTTTATGACAAAAGTTTAATTTCCCTTTCAGTTGTTAAATTTATGCAAGGCGATTTGTGTAATCATACCTGTCGAATTATGCGATCGCATTCAGTACAATTATTATGTTATTATTTACTTACATACAAAGTGATGAAAAATTATGTATTACGATTCTACATCTTAAAAACAGTGGGAATTTGTTAAGAAAAATTTCAGAATAGAGAACTCTGTTCTTTAAATAAATAATGATTCAAAGCGTTTGGCAACGTTCACTCTCTTCTTTCTGAATCTTTTTTATCTTTAAATTCTCTTTTAGAATTCAATTTTCGAATAAGTTGTGATTGGAGTATTATTTTAGCGTTTTAGTGCTTTACTTTCTTTTGAGTGAGATATTCTTTGCTTAAGAAATCATTTCCTGTTTTATTTGTTAGTATCGTACTCTAATCATCTAATAATTTGCGAAATGTAATACAAATGTCAATGTAAAAACTACTCGAAAGATGGCTTCTATAAATAAAATATTCCTTCTCCAAGGAAACGGTTGCGTTCCAGTTATTTTGCAAATTTATTGCAACGAGTAATATATGACGCATTAGAAAAAAATTTGTCCTTGAAAATCAAGATCAAGATAAATTTTATAATAACTTTCTTTAAACCAATATACACCGATACAAAGGTATAGAATTATAACACATAATAATGATGCATAATAATTTTCTGCTAATTATGGTACATAACTTCTAACACCATCCTGCAAATATGCTTCAAATAACATGAATAAGTACTCATGAGAAGTTAGTACGGTAATTTTAGTCGCACCTAGTAATTTTGAACAATCCAGATATGTAGTGAGCAAGAATAGAGAGCAACGATTCCGTAGATGTAATACACAGAAATCCAACTGTACCAACAATCACAAAGTTCAAACTGACGATATCAAGATAGACCGTTCTATCATGAGAGAACTCTGTGACATATTTGATTAGACGAGTTCGAGATTCGTTTAGAGGTATTATTAAGTCCAATATTACAGGCCCCAACAGGTATGTTGTAAAAGTCACAACTCCCGTAGAAAATGTCCCTAAAATTTGAGAAGATCAATTAATACATAACTTATA